AAAACCAAAACATACATACATATACCTAGAAAGCCTCATCATGGAGCCAACCTCTACAACTCTGTTCTTCTAGTGTTTGCTATTCCTGATATCATATCATTTATTCAGAGTAGAGATGTTCAAATAGATGTTCAAATAAGTCAACAGCATCAGTTTTCTATACGTTCCTGCGGAGGACAAATCAACATATGGACTTCTAAAGTTATTACACTTTCTTTTTAGAAAACATCTTACTGTATACTAGATATATTCAAGATTCACTCACACAATGATGCACTGTTTCAATTTGAATATACAATCCAAAAGGTGTACCCTTAAAGCTCTGTTTTCTTTCTTGCTTCAAATATTGAAGTATTTAAATTAGGGCCGAAAAGTTATTGTTAATTTTTTGAAGTTACAATTTGATAATGTTTGATACTGACGCCACATGTCACTTTCGATGCTCTTCATCAGTTCCCTTAATATACTGAATAGGAGGAGTTAGTAGCTAGCCAAAGCTCGTGGGCAATGTAGTATTTGTAGTCACATTTCTGGGCCAGCTGGTGCTCCAGCATCTGTTTCAACCACATCTCCCCTGAGCTTTTGATGCAGCAGTGCTGTCATCCCCAATGTGAAATGCTAATGAAAATTTCTAAAATTATCATAATTTTCCTTTGTTAAAATGATAATGTGCTCAGTATTTACCACCAAGGACAGAAGCAGAACATACTTATGTTCCATCATGGAGAACGCATTGATGATAGCAAGCAAATCATTTGCCAAGATACCATGATTGTTTTTTATACAGCCTAGAATGCTACACAATCAATAATCAATGTACAATAAAAAATGTTCTTCAAGACTACTATAAAAAATGTTCTTCAAGACTATGAAAAATGTGAACAAATATATTAATACTCATGTTGCACTCAGGCCTCTATCATTGTTTTAGTGCTAAGACCAACGTTTTGGGTAACTTACATTATACCAAATGTTATAATATTGGCATTGGTCAAAAACACTAAACTCACAACTTAAAATGAAAGTGTTTAGTTTATTTAATAAAAGAGCACATGTTCAATGTGAAAAGTGACAGTAGATATAGATTAGTTGCAATTTGGTGCTATATATATATATTTAAAAAAAAAATTAATATAGAAAAAAATACATTATTTTTTTTTATTTTTTTTTATAAAACACCTTGAATTTCAGGGGGGGGGGCGCGGGGCTCCGTTGGCGGGGCGCAGCGCCAAATTTCCCCTACCTACAATGGTAGGGGAAACACTGCAGTATTCAGTTGGCAATAAGTAGCAATACTTTGGATTGGATACTGTTAAGATTGATTTATTTCCTTGGTCTTTGGAGGCTGTAAGGAAACAATGCATTCAGTTGATGGAAACACAGCTTTGTTTTTTTAAGCCAGGCCTGTCCGAACCTCAGAGCTAAAAGATCATCTATTATTGATGGGCCTGCGAGCATATCCAGACAACTGCAGCAAGATATTGATTTTGAAATCAGCAGCTTTTGAGTCAAAGCAGGAATGATGGGCCCACATCAATGGCACAAAATATCTGCTGGAAAAGTTCCACTCAGTGGCACTCAGGGCAGACTCAGCAACATTTACAAGTGGGCAGACATGCTCATTCAATACAGTGTAGAAGTCTTTAAGAGCCTTTCAACCTGCGGTCTCTTCGAGTAAAAGTCTTGTTATTCCGTTCCTACCAATAACTAAGATACACAGGAATACAATTTAACAACGCTTACTCTTAGGTAAAGAAAAAAGTTTCTGAGAAATCTCGCAGGATTCTTTTTTATCAGGCTTTGCAAGCAATTTATGTTCCTGTGGAGATGAGAGCATTGATTTTTGTGGGGCTTTTAAGGCTGGTTTGTTCTTCGGGAGGCCTGTTAGATAAACTATTGTTGTCACAGTGGGAGCAGTATAGGTTTCAACACAATATCCTCTATGGATTTTCAGTTACCTCAGAGAGACAAGTTGTAGTGAAAACTTTTATTCATTGTAATTATTATAGTTGAGAAAGATAATCAATTAAATTAAGTCTTTATCCATTGAAATGTGACGTTTGGTTTGTAACTGCTAATGCTTTTATTTTGACGGTCACAATTTATACTTTTAATGTTGTTGCCGTTATAAATATGATTATGAATTGGATCCTTTGTAACGAGCTTAAGCAAAGTCTTGAATGTAAAATGCCAAGATATAAATGAAATACAGTATATGTGTAACTGTACATGTCTAATGTAATTACAGCTACAAACCCTGCAAAGCATTAAAACTGCAGTACAACCTCAACCTCCATTTCTCATGTGCCATAATTGACAAGTCTTCAAGCACGTTTTCAAGCATCTGTGCAATGTATATTAGTGTGAGCATTTCCAACTTTCCTGGCAAGTGTTTTTAAGTTCACAGTTCTTTGAAGTGATTACATAATTGTCAGTGAGAGAAGAAAGAAGGAGAGAAGCAATTAGTGAGTCGCTGTCAACAATGGATATGAGAGAAATGTGTACATTCAAACTGTGTGGGCTGACAACTAGAATGTCAGAGTATTTTAGAATCTCAATTTTTGCCTTTAATTATAAATTCAGCTGAATTATAACAAATGTTAAAAGCCTCCATTACGTGCTCAAGCTTCATCCCACTCTTTGGAGCACTTGTGAGCATAGGTTCCCTTCCCCTCAGCAAGAGTAAACTCACAGTGCTAACACGGCAGACCCACACACTTACCTTTATGTAACTGAGGTATGAAACAAATTGAAATCAGTTGCATAATAGAAGATGAAATCAAATCGAAGTGATTCATGCACTTGGTCAGCTATTCACGGGTCAACACTGCAGTTACTTTGCCTCTTGTGCTAAAAAGCATTTTCATTGCTTTTCCTCTCACCATGATTGCTTTTCTTGTGAATCTAACTGAAATCAGACACCACTTTAAAATAGAAAGATTGTACCCATGAATACAGAGTTTTTCATGGATACAATCTTTCTATTTTACTCACTAAGAGAAGGGTTTATTTTTCTTGTATTGCACTTGTTAGAAACTATATTACAATCATAACTCAAAATGAATACCATTATATGAAGATGTTCAATAACTAAAAAAGATAACCAGCTATTTGCCTGAAAATACAGATACATTTTGTTGAGCTAATACATGCTGTTACGTCAGGAGAACTGTTAAAACCTAAAAATCAGTTGTTAAGCAATTGCTTTGATGTTGACTAATTGGAGAGTTTTACGTTTTTGATACTCCACATAAACTTGAAAAATGTTCCCACTGAGTCAATTAAAATTACAACTACGGTATATTAAAAAGAGAAAAGCACATTTGTCGACTGAATAACATCAAAACATTTTGTCAGAGCAATTACAGTTTTGAAGCTGAAAGGAATGGTCATGGTCCTGATGTTTTTCTTCAGTCTGTTGATGATTTGAGGTGAAATGAGAGGTTTATGTTTGGGTGGCAGGCCTTAGGAAATGAAAAGTCATCTGTTTTTTTGTTTTCATTGACAGTGTTAGGTGAGAGGCTGCTAAAGCTTCTCTATCTCTTGAATAGACTTGTAACGGCCCGTCCACAAAGCGGCGTGCGTTGAAGCTTGCCGGCGGGCGTGTCTGAAACTCGACCAACAACCAATCACATGAATCTCCCGCCCCGGACACACAAGCAGCGGTTTGATTGGCTAGAGCTTGTACTGGCATATGATTCGATTGGCTGACGCTTCTGCCGAAGCTTCAAAAGTTGAACATTGCTCAACTTTTGCAGAGAGCCACGCCAGCAAAGCTCCGATTCGCTTCCCACAATGCAGTTTGGCGAAAAGTGACGTCACCCCATTCAAAGTGAAGCTTTCAACGCACGCCGCTGTGTGGACGGGCCTTAACACTCCGGTTGAATCATCACCAAAATAATGAACTACTAATAAGCCCTTGTCCCATTCTGCCTCTGATAAGTGAGAGGTTTGCATATAAACTTTATAGGAGAAGTCAACTAAGAATTCCCAAGGATCTAACGACAGGATGAAAGCAGAGAATAAGCTTTGTTGGCAGGAGCTTGGTACACATAAGGACTTGGCTTGGGAACCAGAGGTTATTGGTTCAAGTCCCGGATTTGGTTGTTATTTTTAATTAATTCTTGTTCTGACCCACATTTGCATTTTGATCAGTTCATCAACTATAGTACAATGATTGGTTCCTGATTGCCATATTGAAGCTTGGTGAATATGCTTGGACTGATTTGCATCTTCTTCTTCTTCTTCTCCTCAATTATGATTGCTAAGGCTCTTGGGTACTGTAGTATTTAGAGCTATTCAACATACCAAATGGAAGGAAAAATGGTTGGAATGTCGAATAGCATTATTTAAGTATCTAGTGTTATTCAAAGTCAACAGTAAATTGCAAATGTACAATTGGAAAATGTTTCTGAGACTGTAGAAATGTTCCACTGGCCTCACCAGTTAATGTTTGATTAAAGGGGGGAGTCACTGGAAAGCTTTATTACCTAAAGTGACACATTTTTCTAAGAATAGTAGAATTACACTTTATCACACGTAAACTCCTGGAATGCAATAATCATTAATCATTTATATCTAAGAGTGAGAGTATCCAAAGGGGAATCTTTTTTATTTTAACTCTATGTGTGCAATATCACTTTGACACAAAGGTTAGGCATCTCAGTTGAGCTTCATTTCTCTGGACAGATCGCGGTATTATGATCAATTGGCGTTGTGAAAACATCATCACACATATTGCTTTCACTCACAGAACTGCTAAGCTATAAAGGTCAGTGGGCATGGAATTGGACAGTCAGCAGATAATATAAGTGCATTGGTTTGCTCCACTGCGCCCTCAAGGAGTCAAGCAATAGTCATATATGTCACTATTTTGCTGCTGTAGTTGCACTTGGATATGTTAAGCTCTCTTTATAATTACCCTGCTGCTTTTGTTTCACGTATTCATTGATTCATTTATGAACATTTAATTTTAATGCTCAAAACTTGTGTTTTTACAGATCTCTCTGTTGCTGTCCAGAAGTTCTCCCTGTCCCTGCAAGAGTTCCAGTTTGAGTGCATTGGTGATGCGGAGACAGATGACGAGGTGAACATTGGTGAGTTCATTTTGGCCTGCAGATTTCTCTCTTGCTTTGCCAATTAGTCGGATTGTCACCTCAATCAGAACCTTGTCTCACATTTCCCAATGGATTCTGATGGGAGATCCTTGGTTATCATATGCTGTAGTGCTGTTAATATAAGAGTTGTGTCTTTTTCCTATATTGCTAAAGTTCTGATGTTATACTACTTGAGCAATGTTATGTCAGTGAAAGGAGCCATTGGAAAAAGGAAAAGCTTTCTCAGAGTCATTGGGAGCTTTTCTTAGACAAAATTAAGCATACTCTGCAACTTCTTGGAATGGGATTTGGCTTTGAGTATAGATCTTAAAGTTGTCTGCGATGCATGTCTAATTAATGTATTGATTTGCTTATGATGCTTTCCCTGTATCTGTTCAAGTCTACAAAAGATCAAGGGGACTAATTGTGATCAGTGTCAGAGATTAATGGAGGTGTGAACCTCCTTGCCTCCAACAGGAATATGAAAACAGCTGCGCATGGGGGCTCTTTGACTCTAATGAGCAGGACTCCCAGTCTGGCCTTTTTTTCCTCTTCTTTTTTCGCACTGCTCATTATCCGCAGCTTGAGTCCTTTGCTCCGTGGCGCTGGAGAATGCAGAATTACTGTCCATCTGTGAGGGCTAGACTGGATTAGACCTCTCGTACATAAGGCTGTAATGTTCATCTGAATGCGTAATGAAAGTCCGCCTTTCCTTTTTTTTCTCCCAAAGCTAAAGCGGCTATTTGATAGGCAACAACAATTTGCTTGTTGAACATTCCACACCCAACTCCAAGCCTCATTAGCGTCAAGCACGTTTTAATTTATGACAATGCATTCTCTCCCTGGCCTTCAATCAAAAGAAGTGTTGTTCTCAGGTTGAACAGTGGTTATTTTAGCTGCCCACCTGTTATGTAGCTGGACCTGCTCAGTATTTACAGTGCAAACCACAGGCACAATAAAAGCCAGTGGCTTGGCCGTGGCTCAATTGAGAGCCATGATCATCTGTTGGGAAGCATTTTATTGACTGTGTAATGCAGACAGTAGTACATTCACTTGAGTACAGTGGACTATGGATGCAGATTTGGCAGAAATAACAGGACATTGAATATATAATTGATCAATTCAGATTACACTAAACACCATGTCATTTTCTACAACAAAATTCCATTCATCCATAACACACACACTCAATGCTTTCATACAAAATAACACACTGAGTCCAATTATGGGGCAAGCAATTAAGTGTTCAATATTTTCTGAAAGATAAAAGATGTTCTCATACTCTGAGTTACACTACGGTGTTCACCCACCATCTCGGAGAGAAAAGGCCATGATTACTATGTGCGCGGAAAAAAATGAAACAGCTTGTTGAAATCAATCTAGTCATCAATGACACTGAGTTTTCTGACTGACATAGCTAGACCCTTGTGTGAATGCCAGCCACGATCTTGATGCAGTATCGGTATAGTTCACTTTGATGCTCCCAACTTCCCTACGACACATCGAGATCCTGTACGCGATGCCAGACGGGTTCACCTGACCTTTTATTGATTTTACTCTAAGACTTCCTGCAGTGACATTCACATTCCGCGCCAGTTATCCATGAATCAATGTGGCCAAAGGATTGATGTAGCTATAGAAATTTAGATTTTTCCGAAAAGTAACATGCCCTTCTCTCAGAAGGTCAATCCTTTAGTCTCCACTAGCTGTTCAAGTAAGAAGAGGGCGAGATCCAGATTTAAAAAGTAAAAAATCAAGCAGCAAGACTCCATTTAAACCACGACATTGGATATAAGAACATTTTGTTATTGTAAGAAAATGTTCTATTAAATATACAGACAAAAGTGTACAATGTCACACCTTATTTTCATATAATCCTCCTTATGCGTCTACAATTGAGGAAGTCAATTTCATTTCCTTCAATGATTCATGAGGTCCATTGCTTCTCCTCCATTTACCAATGAATGATATGCAAGCTGTAACCTCACTTTGACTCCTATTTCCTTTCTTCAGAGTCTAATCTTGTCCCATCAACGGCTCCAGCTGTGCCCTTTACCCCCTGAGAGGTTTGTGCTGTTGATAAAGGAGCCAGTGGCGTTAATAGGAGGCCAGCCTGCCTGCAGGATCACTGGCACAAAATCATTGCTCGCTGGTCTTTTAAAAGCTTTGGTGTGTAAATGGACCAAAGTGTCTTAGATGATGCATGGCTCCCCATGCCAAGCCGTCGTGGCTGATAATGATGTTACCGTGTTGGCAAGCAGGGCAGCTCGACCGCAGCTAAATGGCTGGACACAGGGTGACACTGGGGCTGACCAACAGAGGCCAAACTGTACCTGTCCCACTGTTTAATTAAGCTGTGAAGCTACAAGGCACAATTCTCTGATCCAATGTATTGTGCTGAATTCATCCGAGCCTGCAGAATGTATTATGAGCTACTGAAGTATAGCCCAGATGGCGTGAACATATCTCCACCACAACATAAGTCACTCCTACATTGTGACAGCATATTGTAAAGCCTAACAGGGGAAGAAAATAAAAGGAAGCAATCAGTGGATCCGTTCAATTGAAGTATTGTTTTTTACTGCAAGTCTTGGGTTTTAAATTGGACAGCTGCATGATTTTATTAGGTTCTAAAATGTGGTGCACTGAAAGCTCTGAAGCTGCATTGCAATAACATTTTAGCACCATGCTACACTGCTTGTGGGGTGCCAGGAACATCTGATGTTTAACGACTCAGCCACTGTGTAAAAATATATATTCTTTTATCATCTGAATATAACAACCCGGTGGGTCACTGGGTCCGTGCGTAATGGTGAACATATTATGCGGGATGTATCATACATACGTTGATGCATTTATTGCCCTAACATGCAGTGTTTCACGTTTGATGTGCTGTTGTATTTCTTTGTGTTACAGCCCAGTCTTTCAAAGAGTTCTCCCAGCTGTTGACCACGGTTGAAGAAGAAAGAAGGCGTTTGGTAAGAAAGCAATTTTGTTATTTGATTTTGTAGATTATATAAAACAAGGGAAGAACACATGCTTGTCTGGCTTTAACACTATGAGAAACACCGTTTGGACACAAATTGGTTTGTTCTGATGAAGTAGAGACATCTTGTTACCTACCTCCCAATTTTGCCCTGAAACAGATGTATATAGGAAGAGTGAATTATCACACTTTCTCTGTACTTATTCAACTTATTCAGCTGTCGAAAAAACAGAAGTGTTCTATTAAAGTTAACCAAGGTTGGAATTACCACAAAACCTTTCAGTGCTACAAAATCGTAGTATTAGGAACTGAAAGAAAGAACAGGTACAGAATATACACATTACAGCGGAACAAGGAATGTCTTGTACTTTATTCATATTGTGATATGCTTTGTATTTATTTCCCTTTATTTCTGTGTAATTTGGTTTACCGGCTTCATAGCATAGCTTTCTTAGCTTTATCACAGTGCTGCTCAGTTTGTGTGAAAAAGCCTGGCCCTGCACCAGTTACTTTGTAACAGTAGACATTATATAGGGTGGTACTGAAAGGTGCCTCAAGGCAGGAATTACCTTAGTCCACATACTTCAGCTGTGCATCTGATTTCCAAGTCTGATATGCAAATAAGATCAGCTGCAGGTTTGCAGCCATAGGTTTTGTAACTACCTCAGACATTTTCATTTGCTCTCCGTTTCCCTTGAAGGAGCTGTTTTTTACAGCCGCTATTTTCAGTTTAAGGGGGTGAGTTTTAGATACTGAAAATATTTAGTTTGGGGAGCACAAATAGTGCTTTTTAGGACAAACACATAAAGGACAAACACGTGAAGGGCAAACACTCAAAGGACAAACAATCAAAGTTTCAAGATAATTATTCAGCTCTCACTCTGTCACGAACGAGCTGAGAACCAAAATGCAACACACGGGAGACCAGGGAAAGTCGGTAACCAGCTTTATTATAACGAGTTTCCACAGAAAAGTTCTGGTGTAAGACAAACCGGCAGACAGTAGGCAAAGGGCTGGTCGGGGACAGGCGAGGGTTCCAGGAGTAGGCCAGACGGGAGACGCAGGTACAGGCAGGGTCAGGGAGCAGGCGAGGCAGAATAGTCCGGGTACAGGCAGGGTCAGGAAACAGGCGAAGCAGGCTGGTCAGGGACAGGCAAGGTCGAAACCGGGAGAGCAATCTGGGAGGTAATGCTGGAAAGAACTGCATGCTGCGAAGTACAATCTGGCACTGAGGTGATAGTGAAGGGGGCCTATATACTAGGGGAGCTAATGGGTGTAATAGAGTGTAAGAGAGAAACAGGGTGTGACTACCAGGTGACTAATGGCGCATTTCCACTGCAGGGCCTCGCACGGCTTAGTACGGTATAGTTAGGCCTTGGTAGGCAAGACTCACTTTATGCTGCGTTTCCATTACAGTTTAGTAGCTGTGGCAGTAACTATAGTAACGCAGTGTAGGCGGAGCCGTGACGTCATCTTCAATGCGAACCACAAAACCAACATCAGCCGTTAGCTGTTAGCACTCAGAGCTCACAGCTCCTCATATCTGTTCAGAAACTAGACAAAAGTTAAACAAGTACAAACCACAGACTGTCTGTGTCATGGTGAATACAGTCGCTGGTTTATTTATGTCTGTAGGCCGTTGTTGTGAGTGTGGACGGTCGGAGCATATACAACGTTAGCTTAGCCGATCTCCATTCAGAAAACACGCATTTTAAAAGGTTTTTCGCCTGCCGTCTGTCTGCAGACTTGTCAAAGCATTAATTCATGGTTTTTACTAACCGGTATCAGTATGTTGTTACTTCGGCATCATTTTTAAACGTGTATTACAATTAAATCACGGTCAAATATGTTCATCTTGTTGTAGTTGTAGACAGGGTATGGCTGGGGTAGGCTACAGCCATACCAAGAAATGGCTTAGCCCCACCTTAGCCCCACCATGAAAAATGATGTTAAAGTAAGCAAAATAAAGTCCGCCAACTCGCGAGGAGTAAATTGCACAGACAGCAGTTAGTAAGATTGATTTCAGTAGCCACTTGTCTGGAAATACCGAAGACTAGAAACGGTTTTGAAAACTTTTGTCACGTCGTGATGGTCTTCTCAATAAAACCTCTTTGATAATGTCTTCTGGCCAATCAGAATCACGATAACGGCGTGGTGTTGTTGCAGGAAGACCCGACGGAGAATACTTTTGCGGTAGTACATCTCTATATACATCGATACAACATTACGTGTTGATAGAAATCAACACGTAATGAAATAAGACCCCACGGTTTGATGATTGATAGGTGTGTGGGCTGTCTTTCATTTTGACACACAGAACAATGGGGGCTATCCACCCTTATCCACAATGTAAAGTAATTCACACAGCCTCTTCCCTCTTCTCTCTGTGAGGAGCAGCAGGTTCAGCTTTCAGAACAAAGTAACAAAAAACAAAAATGGCATTCATTTTTTTAAATATGTCGCGTAGTAATAGATTTATTTTTTTTTTTCTCAAGAGAGTACCAGAATGTGTATTTTATGTTAGTATTTCAAAAAATCTCCTAGGGGAGAATCCCCCCAGACCCCCCTGCAGGGGTCGGGTTTTTAGCATGTGAACTCTTTCACCTGTGGGGAAATTGCAGGATTGGCTCCAGGTCGCCCTTTTTATTTACTACAAGGCAAATGTGCCTCTTTATTTCATACAGTTCAATTTGGATTGAGACAGGGAAATAATCTAAACCTCACGCGTGGCGTTTCACTGTCAAGGGGGGCGATATAGCGTGTATGTAATTACATTGCAAATACTGATTTGAGCCCCACCACTGTATGGGTTAGCCCTACCATAGATTACCCAACAAAAATACTCTGGAGCCGCCACTGGTTGTAGCCCCCTTGCCAGCGATTCTCTCACTAGTTTAGCATATTCAGCCCGGTTGTTGGCCCGGAAAGAACCTGGATTTTGGAGAGCCAGAAAAACTCTGAAAAAGTACCCGTTAGCCGGAACTACCCCTAGTGGAAACGCAACCAAAAAGGGGCCGGGTTTGGCACGGCACGCTTAAACCGCGCTCCGCGCTGCAGTGGAAATGTGCCATAAGGTGACTGAAAAATGCTAATGCAGAAAATAGGTGAGTGAGGGAGCAGACTGTGACACACTCTGCATCATGTCCATATGGATTAATATATAGTGTACCTCGGTTTTATAGGTTGACAGAAGTAGCTGCTTAAATACAGAATCACTGAATACAGAGCTATAGAAGCTATGCACGTGTTGTCACCATTGGTGCAAGTCACAAAAATCATGTATGAAATGGACAAGAGTTGTTGTGCGATTGACTGTCCTAAAATATTTGACAATTGTTGCAATTTGCGGCAAAAACTTAAATCAAGGGGCAGCAAAATGTGGATATACAGGTGTCATATCTGGTTCTAAAATGCAGTTACACACAGAAAACAATAACAAATATATATACTTCTAACGTCAGCCATGTTGCAGAAAGTCGTTTCACCTTCAGTCCAGCTAAAAGGGCGTGTTCTGGTGAGAAACTGATGTCAGTGCAAAACCCTCCATGTAAATATAAGTAATCAAATGTGTGAGACCTAATATGAAGCATTTGGCTCCGGACGTTAAAAGCGCAGCTAGATTTTATGATGGAAAGAGTTGCCCTTTGAAGTTATGGGTCACCCCTCTGCAGCCCATGTAGCTTTATGGAATACCCTGTCATCCTAATCAATTTGACAAGCATAAAGGCACAGTGCATAAATTCATAAGCATTATAAATTAATGTGGCCTAGAGCAATATGTTTTACTTGTAAAATTCTGATCCTTGTCAATTATTTAATTACTACAGATGATACACACTGTCCAACACCAGTGACAAGCTGAACTAGCTGTATTCGGCTAAATTAGAAATTATTATAGAGATTATGTGTTCTCTAGGAAGGATAGAAACAGGATGTGACATACTGGCCAATAGACTTGGTGTGCCACAGGGCTGATGGGTTCTCACTGTGTGTGGTGCAGACTCTGGCATACGGGGGGGTCAGTCTTTCTGGTGTGGTGATGGTCATCTGATGGCTGTCAAAGATGAGCATTAAACAACGAGTTACACCGTTTCCATACAACCTCTTTTTATGAGTCCATGTCACAAAGATGAATGCATACAGTGTATATGTATGTGGTCAAAGATCTAAATTGGAAAACTGTCTTTCAGCTGTTAACAGCATTTGTGTGCACTAATGATAGAAAATACAGATATTACACAATTGCATATTAGTCTAGGTTTTTTCTTATCACAATAGGGAACATAAACAAATCAACAAGCAGAGACACTGCTGAACTGATAACAAATAAAAAATAGCACCACCACTGAGTGTAGGAAGTAAAGTTTTTATCAACATGCATGATTGCAAAGTGACGGAATTAAATGTAATAAATCAAACGGCTGTGACTAGTCTGAGAGGCTACAGTGTTTTATTCAACTGAAAGATTTGATAAGTAAACTACAACTATTCATAGCACAAGCGCCCTTCGTCATACTGTGTCTCCCTCGTCTTGCTTGAAAGGCCTCCTCTTTGCATCATCTCTTCTCTCTTTACCTGGCTTCTCACTCGTCAGATCACAGGAATACAGAACATGGCTATGATCCCTGCACTTTGAGCTTTTGGTTGATTGTAATGTTGGTGACACAAAATGTAAAGCTTATTCTCTACTTTCACATATTTTAAATCTCTTGAGATCAAGTGTCAGCAATGTAACTTATGTCAGTTTTAAACATCCTTTCTTTTAAATCCCACTGAAATGAAAGTAAATAACTATTGTTGTTGTTATATGGTTTCCAAGGAGCTTATACTGGTGCTTACTTGAACCAGTGCTCTTGAAGTGAGAGCAACTTTTTTTTCTTTGCTGCTCTTATACATGAACTGTTAACTGCTAATGACTCACCTCACTTGGGGTGTTATGCTTGGATTGATATTGCTTTAAAATACTCTATAGACGCTCTGTAGAGCTCATTT